TCCCAGTTTCTCTCTCTAAGTTTCTTCAGTGGCTCTTCTTGCTTGGAAGTTGTGCTTTGTGCACAGTTTCTCCCTACATAGAACCCTTTTTATGGAACAACTCTGAAATAACTATTAGGAATAAGTACTTGTTCTTTTCCAAATGGTTTCAAAGAAATATTAGTAATATTATTGCTTTATTTGACAATTCTGGAAATGTGCTCTCTTATGATCAATTCATGGCTACACATGACTTCCCAGTCCCCTTTAAAGAATATAACTCCTTGATTAGAGCTATTCCTGATTGCCTCATTCATCTTGTAAAAAGTAATTTAAGTTTTAGTAATACCTCATTGCTTTTGGGTGGTATAAATATACTTGAAAAAAATGTGATAATAAACATATTTAATATAATCTTCAACAAAGAAACAAAATTTCCCCTAGGGGTAAGTTCTATTGGATGTCCTTTATTGAGGATATCAATTGGAAAAGGGTGTGGCTTTTGCCTCATAAATACTGTATGTCCAATAAGATCAAAGAAGTTCACTTTAAAATTTTACATAAAATATACCCTGTGAATTGTATTATTTCCAAATTTGTTGACATTAATAGTTTTTTCTCCTTGTGTGGATCTACTGATGAAACTTTGACTCACCTATTCTTTCAGTGTGAGAGAACAAATGACTTCTGGTCCAACTTTTGCGCTCACATTTTTAACACTGTCAAAATGACTTATTCCTTTAGTCTCAAACATATTATTTGTCACTACAATAACTTTACTAACAAGCCTCTTGAGTATATTGTTAATTGCCACATAGCAAAACATTTATTTAAATGGAAACGGTGGTGTGTTGAACAGTCTGTTGTGTTACACAAGTGTTGCAACTATGACAGCTGAGAAGACCATTCTTGTCATCTTTTGGGCTTATTCTATTAAAAAACACCCTACAATAAAATACTTATGACAAACATGTCTTCTAATGTTTTCAGTTGTTGTGTACGACGTGTCACAGCAGCAGCATTTGTAGATGACTTTATTACAATCCGTTGTGTGCACTGCCTTTTTAAGTATGGCAAGGTTTATATACACGTCACTTCTGATTGGGTAACACCTCTGACACACCTATCAAATGAGAGAAAATGTAAGCCTGTTGCACACTGTTTCAACGAAACATGACGTTCAAAGTGGAAAAGTGGGTACTTATCCCCACTTTCCACAATAAGAGCCCACAGCAAAATCAGTAAACGTTCTAGATCACATAACCTAAAACTAACAATATGCATTTCTTGAACAAGCTACAATAAGTTGTGTTTTGGATGCAGATATGCTGGTCAACCAGCATGACCTGTGTTTCTACCTTCCTGCCAAAGGAAATCAGCACAAAGGATTTGGCCTGTGTGGTGTGGAGCTTGTTAAGGTTTCAAAATAAAAAACACAGAAATGACAGGAATGCTGCTTTGACCTTTGAATAATAGTATTATTCAGTCACTAATGTCTCTCCTCCGAGTTCACACGCTGTAACTGAGGGCCTGAGAGTAAGCATCACAATGAACGTTAGGATGGTCTTAACTACAAGATGCTTTTAGGAAACTGGGCTCTGATTGGTCAGCACAAAAAAGGCTTGTGATGCAAACTCTTGAACTGCATCTAGTTATACTTTATTATATTTATAGAGGCTACCTTTTTTAAGCAAGTGTTACAAAAAGCAGATTTTGTGCACAAAAACTACAAGCATAATTTGTCTTTCCCACCAAAAACAAAACAGTCTTATGTTTTATCAATGGCACTGAATTCTAATATATTTTTACTGAGTACATTCCACTTGTGGCAATAGGTAGCCTCTATAATGATAATAAAGTAAAAGCATTGTTAAAGAACAAACCCAGGACATACATTAGCCTGTGAAGTGGCAGGATTGGATGTTCTTACAGAGGTAATCAGAGCTGATCAACTTTCTGACTTTTAATTTTGTTTTGTATTCACTGACGACTCAGAGATTCATTTTACGCTATTTTTAGAAGCACCAGAATTCTTTTCCCATTGACCACCAGTCCAGTATTGAAGGTTCTCCTGCTAGAAAAACAAGCACAGACCAGCACAGATCAGCATAGCTGATCATCAGCAAAGTCAGCGTATCGCTGTTGTCAGAAGAAAACCTCATATCTCCAAAATGGTAACCTACAAGAGAGGAAAAAACCAACTTTACTTTTAATGTGCATCAACGGAACCAGACTTTTTTCCAAGTCTTTCTTTTGGTCCATTCATCATGTCATTTGCACACAATGTAAAGTCCAACAGGCATTTTCAAATTATGATAACAACTGAAAAACAACAAAAATGGAAATGCATGGTTTTCTTCCGACGGCAGCGATATTTTACGTCTTGGATGCCGGTATGCTGGTCAACCAGTATGACCATGCTCAGGGACCTGCTAAACCAGCACCAGAGTAGCATGGAATGCATGCTGGCCTATGCTGTTTTTCTGATCAGGGTCCAGTTTTATGGGGTTTTTTTATGTCCCACTTTGGGCTGTTTGCATTGACCCTTTGCAAAATTATGATTGACACACTTCTCAGCCAATTACAGTCTCTCTAAAGGTTTCTTCCTCCATCAGACAGAACAAGAACAAACCTGCAGTGAGAAAGGGGCTGGCAATAAATTAGTCAGAATCTTTAGACTAACAAATATGAAAGTATTACTGAGGAAGGTATAATGCCTGACCTATGCTGTGCTGTTTGTCTGGAGGATGGTCCTGTTTTTTTTTTCATTCCTGAAGAAGAAAAGTTTTGGATCAGTCTATGTGAAAGACTGTATTTACAGAATGGATGATGATGGACTGAAAAACAGTCACCATGATGATCACTGGAAAGCTTCTATTCAACCAATGATATCCACCTGCGACAACATGGAAGCATGTTCACTCCCTGTCATATGCCCTGAAACCCACTGCGTACTATAATTCCGTTCTTCCTCTGCCTTTATCCTGCAGTCAGACAGCAGCTAGTAAGTCTGAAAATAATTTTATCAATGGTTGTTCATTCCATGTTATTTGATCAGCTTATTAATGTTTTTTTTTCCTGTAGATTTTTATTTTGATTTGATGTTTTTAAGATTTTTTTTACATATACTTGATTCATGAGGAAGAGAGAGGCAGAAATGCATTTATGTACTTAGCAAGTTTCTTTTAGACACTGGCCACTCAAAAACAATTTTCACAAGGTGGTAGAGGCAAGAGGTATTTCTTCTGGATCAAGTGGGGCATTCCTGAGCCTTCCTGATGATTCCATGGACAGGGCTGGTCTTCAGATGTGTGGTCCTGAAATCAGTTCATCACCTCAGCTCATCTGTCCATAAGTTTAGTCTCATCTCCCACTGAATAGACATATTTAGCTTTCTCCTTCCATGCTCCAAATCCTGCCTGGGATTCTAAAAGTAATGTCTTACTGGAGGGAACCCTGTGAATTTTATGTGATGAGTGTGCCAGTTCTAGGGCATCGCCAGGGCTTTTGGCAGGTATGGGTGAAGTGGTGACTCAACCCCGAATGTTCTCTTAGCCTCAGCTCTGGTATCATGTACAGGTCCCTGGTTCACCAGCACCAGCCCTTTGTTTGGCACAATATTTGGCACCCTGAGTGAGGTTGTCTGGATCTTGGGGAGCTTTATTGGCTGCTTGTTCTTTGTCGTGTGTCAACCAATCAGAACTCAGCTGCCCAAAATCCGCTTGCTGTAGAAAAAAAGAAACGTACAGGTAAGTTTTCTTTGCTTTTTAGTGAAATACATCCTTCTACTTTCTAAAATTAAGGTAAAGTTCTGGGCAAGTGATTACAAAAGTATTTTATTTTTTGTTTTGAACCGTTTAACTTCATTTCACCCCCGCCCATTGAGGACTTGCTCACGGGCGCCCTCTGGCGTTTTCAGTCCTGTTTTTGACATAGCGGCGGTGATAGGAAGAGGCCAGGCTCCTCATAAACTGGCTCTGGCCTTAGTTCGCAGGCCAAGGTAAACGCTAGCCAAATTTAATCAAATATTATTAAAAAATTTTAAATCAGATAGATATTTATGTACATTATTTTTTTTTAGTTTCCAACTTACTGTGGACTTTTGCTTGTGCAAAAGATCCACACGGTTTTATAGGAACGTGATCTTTGGTAAGTTTCCTAAATTTGCATGTTGAAGCTAAAGTTAATTGCTAGCCTTTCATATGTATGAGGTGAATTCACAGCTGTATTTCGCTATTTTTTCCTGTAAGATAAATGCCTTTGTTTTTTTTTACTAAACATTTGCTTGTTTCCCTTCAATTAAGGAGAGACTAATAGTTTCCCCTTAATTGAAAGGAATCATACAAATGTTGTGATTCATTCAAGATGAGTCGTTTAAGAGGAGCCTTGCCACTTTTTATTCCTCCTGTTATATTAAAAACCCCAGAGGGCGCCCACAAGCGAGTCCTCAATGAAAGGGGTGAAATTTAAAATAACTTCTAATCACTTGTCCAGAACTTTCCTTTAATTTCAGAAAGTAGAAGGATGTATTTCACTAAAAAGCAAAGAAAACTTACCTGTATATTTACTTTTTTCTACAACAAACAGGTTTGGGGCAGTAGGACGCTAACGTTACTGCTACTGAGTTCTGATTGGTTGGTATTACTTTTACTGAGTGCTGATTGGTTGACAAGCGGAGCAGCTTATTGGCCGTTCAAGCTTACTGGCCTCATGATCTTTACGTTTTAAAGTTCAAAAGCACTTAAAAATACAACAGCGGTGTAAAAAGGTTTATGTTGTTCTGTGATCAGGAAATGAATACATTCTTTTATGTAAATATATTTAAGCATTTACAAACTGTGATTTTGCTCAAATGCTCCTTATTACCCTATTCATTTCGGACTCTCTCGGGAGCGCCATGCAGTGTTTGACAAACCCGGAACGTACTGAATGGCAGTTCTCCTCACTACAGATTCTCTGGTAGCGCTGCTGGAGTCCGAGTCTGCGCAGATCGGTGGCAATGCTACGACACTCAAATGCGCCGTGGCTTGACACGTCATTAAGAACTTCGAAGACGGAAGCCGTCGTCAGCTGCGCACACGACTGAGCTTTTCCATTCAGATAAACGGAGAAACGGAGTTTGCGTTAAAATGGGTGAGTTTTACTGACTGCGTTTAATACTACAGCTAAATCATGAAATGTTCCTCAAGTTCGCGATGTTCTGCTCGCAGTCGGAGCCCACTGTGGTTTATTTGAACGCTGATTTGCTGTACAGCCAACAAGCTAGCTTAGTTACCGTAGTGTTGTAATGCGAGGCTGTTCGCTGATCCCCTTTAGCTCTGATTGACCTCTTACTTGGATCAGTTCTCTCTCGTAGAGCGCAGAGCACACGGTATTCAACAAACACGGTTAGTAAAATTAGCGAAGATATGAAGTCCTAAAGCAGTGATGTTAAAAATGTAGTTATGCCTGTTGTTTGTTAGCTCAGTTAGCTTAGCTCTTGTTCTGTGTAGGCGGGTTGATCTCCCTGCCCGTTTAACACTGAAGATGAATTGCAGTAATGAACATGTCTGGTGAAACACAGTTTAGCTGCTTGTGCAGATTTAGCTAGCGAGCTGATGTAGAGGTGTGTTCCTAAACGTGGGATATGCTTGTGGTATCAGTCACATTTTCTACAAGGCAAAGGCAAATGCTGCCTCCTCCCCTCACACACATAGCAGATCACCCAGATTTCTACTGGGCTGTTTTGAAGTTGTAGTTGTGGGTTAGTGATGGATCATTCTTCGCTCCAGTCACAGATCAGGTTAGTTCTGTGTTTCATTTCACACTGTAGGTCTGTTTCCTCGACCTGGATCGTTTTTAAATGGAAAACGCGATTTGACACAGTGCAGTTTCCAAATCGCAAGAGCTGCATTTCATAAGTTTTTAATTATAGCCTTCATTATCAAAAAACGTCATAAACCTTGTAACACAGGCTGTCTGTAGATAAGTTAGACCAGTCGGATCCAGCCAAACCTCTGTGTTGTGACATCACAACCACAACTTGTTGGAAGTTTTGCTCACTACATTTAGGGCTCAAGTCACAAGCCAGAAAAGATGGGTAATCTGACCTCCTTGGCCAAAAATGAAACAGGCCTGAACCTTAATTTATAGAAAATAATTACAATGTTAGTAAGAAAAATCACATTTAGATAGTTTTCCTAAATCGTTCAGCCGTAGGACCAGCCTTAGTCCCTGTCCAGGAACCGTATCCTGCGTGTCCAAAAGTTTGTAGATACTTGCTCGTCCAGTGTTTGTTTTGAAACCTCATGTATTATAATAGGTAGTCAGTGCCCCCTTTGCTTTTCTGAGAAGGTTATACATTAGATGTTGGTTGGAACATGGCTGTAAGGATTTCATTGCATTCAGACACAAGAGCATTAGTGAGGTCAGCTATTGATGATGGATGATTATCTATTCCAGCTCATCCCAAGAGTGTGTGTGGAGCTCCAGTTCCACTGTTCCACAGTCCAGTGCTGGGGGGCTTGGTGACCTTAGATTCATGTGGCTGCTCCAGAGTGTCCCCCACTATTAGCAATACTTTTCTATGATGCAAGTCGTGTGTGTGTGCAATTGAACACCTGTGTCAGTGATCAGTGCACCTTAAAGTAGAAGAAGCAGAGGTGTCTGCAAACGTTCGGCCCAGTACTATACTTGTAGCCAACAAAGCAAAAGATGCCTGAAAACTGATTCTACATGCAGGGATGAGAAGCTGGGATTACGCTTGATGCTAATGTTAATTGCACAGAGGTGAGGCAGTCTTCTTTGGCAGGTTTTATTAGACTGACTGGTTTGTTGAGAATGCCTGCTTCCTTTGTGATGTTCAGAGGTTTACTTTGATCGTGGGTTCTTACAGGAGGAAATGCCTTATGTTTGTAAAGTGACAAAAAATGGAGACCCGGACACACAGGGTGAAAACTTGCCTGTCCAGATGAAAACCGGACCGATGGGAATGCCATTGTGTCACTGTGTAAACATGTGCACTGTGGTTACTTATTATCTTGCACTTGTCCAGACGTGGGCAGAGTAGCCTCAACCTATATTCCAGTAAAAGCAGTGTAACTTTGATTGAAATGATGATTAAGTAGAAGTACCTTTAGCAAAACTTGAGTAGAAGTACCGAAGAACTGGGTTAACAAACTACCTAAGCAGAGTTCCCTGTAGAAGTGATCAATGCAGTACAAATGTAACAGTGAATGTAAACCCAAAAAGGGAATAACTTAATAATTGTTAATGACAAATCTAAGTACAAGTAGATTCCTTTCCTCACAAATATACTTGATTGGGAATAATTGAAAACACTCTGAAAAGTACAAATCCGTCAAGTTTTAAAGTACATGTAGCCAAGTAAACTAGTTACTACCCACTTCTGTGCCTCACTAAAATAGTGTGACTGAGTTGTTTTAATAGTGTAGCTGATAAAGTCATTTCTATTTCTACAGGGGGATTCTTCTCCAGCTTGTTTTCAGGCCTTTTTGGCACAAGAGAGATGAGAATTCTCATCTTGGGTCTGGACGGCGCTGGGAAAACTACCATACTCTACAGACTGCAAGTTGGAGAAGTTGTCACTACAATCCCCAGTATGGTTTTGCACAACGTTCTTTCTTATCAAATAAATGTTATTAAATAGATCTTGTTTGCTAAATTATTAAACTTTAAATTACTCTCTCCAAACATACAGCCATCGGTTTTAACGTTGAAACAGTGACTTACAAGAACCTGAAGTTCCAAGTATGGGATCTTGGTGGACAGACCAGTATCCGGTAAGGAAACTGTTTAGTTCTGTTTATTTGTTGTGATGGCCATAACGTTAGTATGTAGTTGGTTTATGCTTTCATTCTGACAAACTTGTTCAATTTGTCTTCCCCAGGCCATACTGGCGTTGCTACTACTCCAACACAGATGCTGTGATTTATGTTGTGGACAGCAGTGACCGTGATAGAATGGGTATTTCAAAGTCTGAGCTGGTGGCTATGTTGGAGGTAGGTCTAGTAGCTGCTGTTACTTCAAGAGCAGGCATATGTTGCTTTTTATGCAGCTGTGACATTGAACTCTTCCAATAGGAGGAAGAGTTGAAGAAGGCCATCTTGGTGGTGTTTGCAAACAAACAGGACATGGAGCAAGCAATGACACCCACTGAGGTGGCCAACTCCCTAGGCTTACCTGCACTTAAAGACAGAAAGTGGCAGATCTTCAAAACATCTGCTACTAAAGGAACAGGTCTGGATGAGGCCATGGAATGGTAAGGATCTACATCACTTATGGATATTGTTCACCTTTTCCTATCTGTGTTGGATCCTTTGCTTACACTGTTTTTCTATACAGGCTGGTGGAGTCCCTGAAGAGCAGGCAGTAATTGCACACACCACTCTCTGTAAATAGTCCTGTCTTCTGAGCCCCCATTGAAAGACTTCCCGAGTGCCATTTGGACCAGTGACTGCATTCCTCCCCACTATGTGAAGGTTATAGTTCTTTCCTGGCCCCTCCAGCTGAGAGGAGATACTGCAGTAATGGAACAGTTGGACGGCTACATAGCCAAAACTGAATGTCAAAACGTTCCCAGTTCAAATGGACACAAGCTCCAGAAAATAGGTTTTGCTGATTTGTTTATACTGACGCTTGTTGGACCTGTTTTTCCCCCCCTTGTAAGACATATCCACTACATCAGTGTCTTGTAATTTTGCTTCTTGTATTTTCCCCTTTTTAGGCCTGGTACCTGACTGTGGTCAGGACACTTCACTCCTGCCTTATGGTCGCTTCTTCCCCTTTGAATACTTAATCAGTCTTGCAGCTTTCGTATCTAACTTTGGAATTTTAGTGGTTTGTTATTTAAGACTAATGGTCATTTGTATGCGATGGATTTGTCATTGCGTATTTATATAAAAGCATGTACAGTGGACACTACCATCGAGACAAGGTTGTGTTAACACAAATCTATCGTCAATAAATTGCTTCTTGAATGATCCATATTTGTACTGTACCACATTATTGCAGATCCTAAGTAAGACATCCATATGCATTTTTTTATTGAAAAAAATGTACATTAAACTGCACAAATCCACAGTAGAGATGGTACGTGGTCAGACACTGACCGTGGAATATTGTAATGCACAAGCAAGCTTGCCAGAAACAGACCTCAAATTAGCACTTGAACATCAGCCAGTGCTTTTCAAGTCCATCTATATAGTCAGATACATGGCAATCTAAGCCTGATGGCCATTAATTACCCATTTCCAGAAGTTAAAAGGTTTCCAAGCAACAGGGCATAGATCATTGCACCATAGCCAAGTCCCTCAGCGAGGTGGTTTTGCGCTTCTTTGATTTGTATCCTGGCCGCAAAAATTCTATTTTTCTCTTCTTAGCCTCATTTTTCTTTTGGTGCTTCTTGATCTTTTTTCTAGCAGCAATGTCAGGATTGGCAACAGCCTGAGAAAGAGAAATAAAATTTGAACAATCACCATTAACCCAAAAATAAAGCCCACGGTATGGCAAGGTTTTCTATTAGATAAACTGATCATTCAGATGATTGATATACTTCCTTTGAGAAACACTCACCTGCAGGGCCTTGTGTTTCTTACGCAAGGCTCGTCTCTGTGTGGCCTCCTTCTGCACAGCAGCAAAGGCAAGTGAGAACTTCTCCAGACCCACCAACTTCTTCAGTAGCTCGATGAGCTCCTGTGCCAGGTTCTTCAGTGTGGGGTCTGATAATTAAGCCAGATTAGAACATTTAGGTAGTTAACTGATATAAACCTAAGCATACTCAATAAGAATGTACTTCTTACCACTATCAGTCACTGAGTATTAAGTATGATTGTTTCCGAAACATTAAGAGACTGAAGACGTAGGGAGTTACCTTGGTCTGCATATGTGCTGTCCAGTTCTCTGTACAGTGGAGCAATGATGATGGTCAGGTAAGGACCAAGACGCTCTTTTCCCAAGTCAACAGCCAAGGCCCCCAAGAACTTGAACACACAGGTTCTCTGAGAAAAAATGAAAGGAAAATGAAGTCGAGAAATCTTTTGCTTCTTACTGACACCCCGTCACCTCCCAGAGCTTTCTTTATAGCGACATGTTCCATGAAACTAGGTTAGTTAATCGCTTCAGTCAAAAGCAACATGGACAATTGACAGAAGCGGCGTCGGGCAATTTTCAAAACCATTAACAGACCTTTAAATAACTTGTAGACACTATTATTGTTCCTAATAGCAAAAGGAGACAGTAAAGAAAATAACACTAAATGTAGCAAGTTATAGGCCATAGTTTAAGTTATCATTTTTAAATTTGGCAACCCTGGTTCCAGTAGGACCTATGGCATGCACACCTGTAAAGGCAAACATTTTTACATTTTTTTTATTATTTTTATTAAAAATAAACTATTTGTCCTGCAACAAATCTCAGAATTCTGTTTGTGCATTCCTTCCATCTCAAACTCTCAATTTTATACTTCACGCTTCTGGCAAACACTCCAATAATGGGTGGCTGTATATGAATGCAATTAAGTGGCAAAGTTGTCAATTACTGTCTCAGCACAAATATAATACAACTGCTCAAGACCGTTTAAAGGAATTCCACCAACTACTCAAAATGGATGCATAATTAAATCAGTAATATGTAAACATGAAATGCACCAGTCTAAAGAAAATTACCAACTCCTTTCTTTACCGTGGCGGTGACAGAACAAGATGTATACAGCATTTAATGCTGAAAGCTAGCTCACAGAAAGCTATTACACAGAATGAACATGATGTCTGACGTCTGACACATTATTTTATAATAGTCTTGGCCTAAACATATTTTTTAAAAACCCATTAATTGCACAGATATGCAGGGCATCCCTAAATAAAATATAGTTTTTCGAATTATTATTTTACCATTATAGACTTTAAAAACTCGTGTAGGACGTGTAGGTTCACTAGTGGTTTTGCACAGTAAATAAAATGGCTATATCTACCTCGTAGACATTGAGACCCCTGGTTCCCATCACCACCACTGTGAGGATTCAATGACTGATGTAAACAAAGTCATTCAGAGTGGTTTGATGTGAAATGGTTAATTGCAGAGAAACTTTGTTTGCACCTCAATTATGCAGATATTTTGAAAAGTCGGTAGAGTTCCCCTTTAACATCATGAGGTTATCAAATTACACAAGTCTAGCCAGAAGAAAGAAGACTGAGTTTAGACTATTACTTCTTAAACCTGCTCTTGGTGACACAGTACTCCACAGTTTCAAGTATTTCTTGACTCAAAAGCTCATCAACTGATTATCGAGCCCTTCATAAGCTGGATCAGGTATGTTGGGGAAGCCAATAGTTGACACTGTGCAGAGCTGTGGCTCGCCAAGAGTAGCATTATGCAAACAGTGATTTGGAATATTAAGAGAGCTATGGAAGAAAACAGTGTGTGGATTTAATAATGCACCTTTAGTGGCACTTTGGGTGTATCAGCTGCTTCTCTTTTAGCCAACAGCGACAGCTTCTTTATCACCCACAGTACAGATGGTGGCCGTTTCTTATCCTGCTCCTGCTCTTTTTCATCTTCCTCCTCCTCTCCCTCATTCTCTTCTTCTTTTTTGTCCTCTGTTTCTCCATCCTCTACTTCCACTTCTTTCTCATTCTCTACTGAGTGAGACTCAGGTGAGATAAGATAGATCACCTTGGCTACGAAGAGTAGGTTCTTTATTACCTGTTGACAGGATCACATTATAAAACATCATAACAGCCCCTTTTATTGCATTGCATTACATTTCAGTTGATAGTTTCTATTTGTGGTTGATTTGGATTGGTTACATTCCTTACCTGCTCACCAGCAGCGATGTCCAGGAACTTTGACTGTAGCTGGTGCAGGAACGACAAGACCAGCTCTCTCATCTGAGAAAGGTGGAGAGAGAAAACAAAAAAGAAAGAGTTCAGAAGCCTCCTAATACTGTTCAGTGTGGCTCAGGCTAATTGCCATGTATCAGCAATGTATCCAATTCTAGGACCACATATTGAAGACTTTGCTCAAACAGGCAGCTCAAATCTGATGTTTCAGCATGTCTAATTTAAGCAGGACATATTTTCTGCAGTCAGAACGGCACAAGGCCACATGAAATCCAATTTTTTTTTTGATCGGATTCAAGGCACATTTGTCAAATTAAGTGGTATGACCTGACCATGATCATCTGGGGCGTGGCATTGGTGCACACTCACATATTCTCTTACATTCTTGCATGAGCTTTTAACGAACACTAAGGTGACATATTATATGTTGTAATTTTACGGCTTCAGTAAGGGTGTAAACGTGTTTCTGAATATTACTGGTAGAACAACCTATTAGCATGTTAGCCATGATCTGCTGACCAGGTCATACTACTCTAATGTTATGTTCTGTTCGTGTTCTAGTTGCTAAAAAGTGCAATTCTGTTGTGAAATTTAGAGTGATTGTTCTGTTAACATTTTACTTCATCAAATGTGACCAGTTTCCTACAACACCCTGTAAGCGTTTGGAACTGAGGAGACTAATTGCTGTAGTTTGCTGTAAAAGGAAATTGTTTTCCCATTCTTCACAGTTCAGGGTCTACTTAGTCATATTTCATAATCTAGCCAATGGATTTTCAAAGGGTGACAGGTCTGGACTGCAGGAAGGCCACTTTAGCACCCAGACACTTTTACTATGGAGCTATGCTGTTGTAATATGTGCAGTGTGTTTTTTGGCATTGTCTTGCTGGAATAAGCAAGGCCTCCCCTGATAAAGAGGTTGTCTGGATGGCAGCATATGTTGCTGCAAAACATGTATATATGATTCAGCATTAATGGTGCCTTCAAGTCACCCATGCTACGTGAACTAATGCACCCCCATACCAGCATCACGAATGCTGGCTTTTGAACTATGCGCCAATATATGGTCCCTTTTCTCTCAAGCCTGGAGGATGCGGCATCCACAATTTCCAAAAAGAATTTAAAATTTTGATATGTTGGACCACAGAACACTTTTCCACTTAGCCTCAGTCCATCTTAAATAAGCTAAGGCCCAGAGAAGGCACTGTGACCTAAGGGCTCAAAGATCACAGCCAGCCAGTGCTGGTTTTCAGCCTCTTGCCTTGTACACAGGGCTTTCTCTGAATTCTCTGCATTTTTAAAATTATGTACCATAGACAATGAAAAGTTCTTTGCCATTTTACGTTGAGAAACGTTATTCTTGAATTGCTGCACTATATGCCTACACAGTCTTTCACAGAGTGGTAAACCCCTCTCATCTCTATTTCTGAAAGACTCCAACTCTCTGGGATGCTTCTTTTTTTTATACTTAATCATCTTACTAACCTGTTGCCAATTAATCTAATTAGTCATGAGATGTTCTACCAAATGTTTAAGCATTACACAACCTTACCAGTCTTTTGTTGCTCTTGTCCCAACTTTTTTAAAACATGTTGCTGGCATCAAATTCAAAATGGGCATAAATTTTTCATAAAACAATAAAGTTTCTCAGTTTTGACACCTGATATGTTGTCTTTGTACTATTGTACTACCTTTGTACATTACTGCATTCTGTTTTTATTTACATTTTTCAGTGTCCCAATGTTTTTTGAAAACCTGGTTGTATTAAACAAACCATAGAAATAATCCCAGAGTATATTAATCCAGTGCAAACTGCTATGTTAGTAAATATTCTGTTAGTTTTCACAGGTTTTGTAAGTATAGAGACACTTGTATTACCTATGGCCCAAATCAAGGCAATACTGTCCTACTTCAGCATATGATTCCGAACATTAAACATGTAAAAAGACAGGAAAATGTCTGATTTTATGTGGCGATGGTGTGATGTGACGTAAATCAAGTAGCCATTCTCATCTCTGTAACTTATACTGAGATTTCTTATCCAGTGTGAATCATAAACATTCCAGACACAATGCAGTAAAATTACATTACCCCATCCTATGTAAAATTAATCATGAATAGTATGGCTTGTAAATTTTTACCTTCTTGT